GGATAGATAGATAGATAGATAGATAGATAGATAGATAGATGTACAGGAAAAGAATGGGATAGATAGATAGAGAAAAAGAATGGGATAGATAGATAGATAGATGAATAGATAGATAGATAAATGGATAGATAGATAGATAGATGTACAGGAAAAGAATGGGATAGATAGATAGATAGAAAAGAATGGGATGAATAGATAGATAGATAGATAGATAGATAGATAGATAGATAGATAGATAGATAGATAGATGATACAGGAAAAGAATGGGATAGATAGATAGATAGAAAAAGAATGGGATAGATAGATAGATAGATATATAGATAGATAGATATAGATAGATAGATAGATACATGTACAGGAAAAGAATGGGATAGATAGATAGATAGAAAAAAAAGGATGGGATAGATAGATAGATAGATGATAGATAGATAGATGAATAGATGGATAGATGTACAGGAAAAGAATGGGATAGATAGATAGATAGAAAAAAATGGGATAGATAGATAGATGGATTGATAGATAGATAGATGGATAGATAGATAGATAGATAGATAGATGTACACGGAAAAGAATGGGATAGATAGATAGATAGAAAAAGAATGGGATAGATAGATAGATAGATAGATAGATAGATAGATAGATAGATAGATAGATAGATGTACAGGAAAAGAATGGGATAGATAGATAGATAGAAAAAGAATGGGATAGATAGATAGATAGATAGATAGATAGATAGATAGATAGATAGATAGATAGATAGATAGATGTACAGGAAAAGAATGGGATAGATAGATAGATAGAAAAAGAATGGGATAGATAGATAGATAGATAGATAGATAGATAGATAGATGGATGAATAGATGTACAGGAAAAGAATGGGATAGATAGATAGATAGATAGAAAAAGAATGGGATAGATAGATAGATAGATAGATAGATAGATAGATAGATAGATAGATAGATAGATGTACAGGAAAAGAATTGGATAGATAGATAGATAGATAGATAGATAGATAGATAGATAGATAGATAGATAGATGTACCGGAAAAGAATGGGGATAGATAGATAGAAAAAAAATGGGATAGGGATAGATAGATAGATAGATAGATAGATGGATAGATAGATAGATGAATGGATGGATGAATGAATAGATAGATGTACAGGAAAAGAATGGGATAGATAGATAGATAGAAAAAGAATGGGATAGATAGATAGATAGATAGATGGATAGATAGATGGATAGATAGATGGATGTACAGGAAAAGAATGGGATAGATAGATAGATAGAAAAAGAATGGGATAGATAGATAGATAGATAGATAGATAGATAGATAGATAGATAGATAGATAGATAGATAGATATGAATAGACGGAGATAGATAGGCCGATAGTTACATGTGAACGGCCAGAGATAGATAGATAGATAGATAGATAGATAGATAGATAGAACTATTATGAAACTTATATCTATTCTCAGACCGTGGCTGATCCAAAGTAATTAACCGACTGGAATCGATATTGGAGAAAGAATCGTGAATTGAATGAAAAACTGAAAGTAGAAATGGATGCGAGAAAAAGTAAGAAGGAAAAGGCAGAAGTAATAAAAAAATATTTGAAAAGTTGCTCCAAACGTCTAACAGTTTTCTTAAAGACATCTACTCGAAGATAATATAAATTAATTTAGAAAGTAGCATGAACCAATTCCAACTACCCACCCCCACAAAAAAAAAAACCGCGGTTGGCGTCGGAGGGATTTCAAGTGTACCAAATAAAAGTAAATATACATCACTTTTATAATGAAACAGAGTTATGTTCTTTCCTTGTCCGAGGTGGAAACGGTATGAAGACGAGTTCAAGGAATCTTGATCTGAAAGAACGAAGAATCTTAGCAAAAAATAAAAAAAGAGGTTAAAAGAAAAAGAAAACTGGCTTAGTTGACCGACAGTGGTCAATGAAGCAAAGGCGACTATTTCTGTATAGTAGCCAAAATCTTATAGAAGGGCTGCGGCTGACCGAAGAAGGATAGCGCTAATTAATGACCCTCGAATCTGTCAAAACCGGCCAATAAAATCACCGGCCGCTTTCCGAATCGACTCAGCGAAAAGAGTCAAAAACATGTGGAGTTGTTTTCAGCGCTGAATTGAAACAGTTCCTGCCTGAAAACCCACTTGAATTTCACCATCTCATTGGCAGGGAAATCTGGTGTTTACTCTAAGTTCTACATTTTTCCTTCCAAGTTCTTCCCGCTCTAGTCTCCATCGTTTTCTTTATTTTTATTTGCTATAACTATTATTACAGCAACTATTAAGAGTAAATAATAATAATAATAATAGTAATAATAATAATAATAATAATCTCTTGATGTTTCATTGATTCCTTTTTCCTGATTTTTGTTGATTTTTATTCGTTCCTTCTTTATTAAAACAGCCACAATTTCTTCCGTTTCCGGTTTGCTTGTGAGTATTTTTTTTTTTTCGTTGGATTAACATTCTTTCCTTGCGTTCTTTATCGATTTGCATTTCGTTGTATGATTCTATAGTGTATTTAATTTCTCCTTCAACTTTTTATTCTTCATCTTATTCTTATTCTTCATCACCTTCTTCTTCATCTTCTTTTTCTTCTTCATCTTTTCCTTCGTCGTCTTTTTCTGCTTCATCTTTTTTCCTTCATCTTCTTTTTCTTCTTCTTCTTCGTCTTATTCTTTTTCATAATCTTCTTCTTTTTCAACTTTTACATCTTCTTCTTATTTTTCATTTTATTCATTTTTTCTTCTTCATCTTTTTCTTCTTTCTCTTTTTCTTCTTCATTTTCTGCTTCTTCTTCATCATCAACTTTTTCATATTCTTCTTCATCTTCTTCTACTTCGTCTTTTTTTCTCCTTCATCTTCTACGTCTTCTTCTTCAGCTTATCCTTCTTCATTATCTTCTTCTTCTTCTTCATATTTTTTAACTTTTTCTTCATCATCTTCTTCATCATATTCTTCATCTTCAACTTCTTTTTTTCTTCTTCTTCTTCTTCTTCTTCTTCTTCTTTCTTCTTCATCATCATCATCTTCTTCTTCACCTTCTACATTATTTTCCTTATCATCTTTTCTTTTTTATCGTCTTCTTTTATTCATCTTCTTCTTCTTCTTTCAAAGTCTTTTCCTTGGTTTCTTCTACTCCTTCTTCTGTTTCTTTATTTTCATTCTTACCTTTGATAAACATGATTCCTTTACTTCTTATCATTCATAATCTTCAATCTATTTTTTTTTCTTATAACTTTCGTTCTATTAAGAAGAATACAACCAAATTTGTAAGAAATTTTATTTATTTATTATTTATTTGTCTTCTTATTTTCTTTAAAATCTTTGGTTATTTTTTTCTTCTTCCTTTATAATAATCTTTTTTCTTCTCGTCTGTCTTCTTTTTTAATGTCGCTTTTTTCTTTTTCATTCATAATTTTCAGCCTCTACCGTCTCTTTAAACTTTTTTAGATTTTTCTTCTTTCCTAATGTTTTCTTTCTGCTTTTTCTTTTACTTCTTTCATAATTTTTTCTTCTTCTTTCAGTTACTTTTCTTTCCCCCCGAGTCTGATGGATTTCCGTGATCAAATCGATAAGGCGTCGTTCATGTCAAAATGTCACTCAAGCAGATGTGGTGCAATATTAAAGCAACGTCTATTATAACGATCTACTCTGCTTAACGGTAGAAGAATGTGAAAATGATCCCAGCGTTCCGATAAAAAATGTGAAAAAAATAAAAGATATTAAAGAAATTCAAACATTTTGGGAATTTTGTTAAACCTCTGTGTTAATTTAATGTCGACTATATTCGCCACTTTCCATTAATAAAAATCAAATTTTGGAAGACGGAGGTAGAATCAGATAGAATGCTAATATTTGGGGACAAATGTAAAATATTTCTTTATTAAAAGTAGAGAGACATCGGATAGAAGAGGAGGAAGTAATAAATAAACACAACAGAGAAATGAAACAGAAATTAAAGAAAATATAAAGAAATCAGCCTTTCGACCTATATCGTACTTTCGGCCCAAATTGGCTTTTCTGGTCCAAATCGGACTTTCGGCCCAAATTGACCTTCCGGCCCAAATTGACCTTCCGGCCCAAATTGGCCTTTCGGTCCAGATCAGACTTTCGCCCAAAATTAACCTTTCAGCCCAAATCGGACTTTCGATCAAAATCGAACTTTCGACCCAAATCGGGTTTCCTGTCTAAATTGGCCTCTCGGTACAAATCAAACTTTCGGCCCAAATTGTCATTTCGGCCCATATCTGACTTTCGTTCAAAATCGGACTTCGGTCCAAATCGAACTTTCGGCCCAAATTTTTTGACCAGGATTAGACTTATAATTTGAATCAGATTTAAAATTAGGTTTTGATCTTTTATGGAGTGAATTGATAAATTATTATTTTTGTTATTTCTTCAAATTATGATTGCTGTTTTTCTAGTCTGATCTAGAGTTCAATTTAGTTCTAGGCCAGAGGTTCAATTATCCCTCGGCAGAAGCTAGGTTAAAAGTCCGTACGGAGTGCTGTTTTTAAGCTAATTATAAATAATTATAATTCAAAATATTACTGTGCGGAACTGCAAATATCATCCACAAAACCTTCTCCATCTAAACGAAACCTCCCAGATGTGCAGGGATAATTCACCTACAGTGCTCTTTTTACTCATAAACCCCGGACAGGACTTGGTAATTAGGCACTTAAAATTACATGCTGGCAAGATTATAGCAAATACAATGATAATAATAATAATTGTCACTTATATTTGCAGTACTGGAACAGGTTATCAGAACGAATGTAATCAAAACTTAGAGAGACAAATCAAAAGAAAGCAAATGCTGGATGTGTGGACATATTCGGTGAATGTCCCAAGTTGGAATAGAAGAAGTACAACAATAACAAATATTGGTTTTTAGCACCTGCGCGAAGAGTAGATGGCGATTTGAATGCGCCAAATATTGTACGAGTGATTGTAGCAAAGAAGTATTATAACGAGAAGCGGCATAACAAGTTAAAAGCAAAAAAAAAGGTTCATGGTCATTTTTTTGAGCAGACAGAGACAGAAATTATTAAAAGGTGGATTTGGGTGTAAAAAATGTTTTTTCTAAAGAGAGAAACCTTGTTACTTATAGTTGCAGCACAGGAGCATGTCATCAGAATAACTGTAAACAAGACTAGGATAGATAAACCACAAGAAGAAAGCAAATGTAAGATGCATGGTCAAAAGATGATGAGACAATTAACCACATACTCGCTGAATGTTACAAGTTGGCACAGAAGGAGTGAAAGTAACGATATGATTGGATTGGTAGAATAATCTATTTAGATTTATGTAAGTTTGGATTCATTGTAAAAGAGAATTGATATAAACATTAGCCAGAGGCAGTAACAGAAAATGAATCGCAAGATATTATGGGATTTCTTAATCCAGACAGATCATGTCATTGATTAAAACACGAAAACCCGACCATATTTTTTTTTATAGATAAGAAAAATAGTTAATGTCAAATTATTGATTTTGTTGTTCAATATGATACAAACTGAAAAGATTGAAATATGTCTGGATAGGGAACTGAAGAAGCTATGAAATATGGGGAAAAAATGAGTACCACATATAAAACAACAAAAAATGCATTCACAGAGAAGTGGAATTGAGGTCAATATTGTAGAATTCAAGAAAACTGCCATCATTTACTCAGCGAGGATTCTCCGAAAAGTTCTTAAATTGTAAATTTTATTGACCCCATGTCTCAAGAAGAGAATTTCTATCCACTACGTCATTGTAACACACCATATGTAACCGCAAGTTCTATGCTAGTAGTTTCTTTTTTCGCGCTTCTCGCTTGTGGAACTTCCTTCCGATTCCATGCTTTCCAGACAACTTTAATCTTGAAAGATTTAAATGCAATGTCAATCGCAATCTGCTGTCCTCCTGATTACATTTTTTTTATTCTCGTTCGTTAGTAAGATTTTGTTTTTGATCTTTAACATACAGTTTTTCAGTGGACAAAGACAATTACTGGAACTGAAAGGTGGCTTTAGGTAACATATGGTTTTCTGAAGAGAAGAAAAGTGTCTGTTTTGGTTCTACCACAGAAGCAAACTGGAAAATTGATTGCAATTAAGGCCAGTGCAAACAGCTCACAAGAAGAAAGCAAATGCAGAATGTGTGGTTAAGCTGATGAGTCATTTAATCATATACTAGCTGAATGTTTCAAATGACATGATTGGATTCGTAAGAGTATGATATTGGGGAGTATGATAATTTGTTGATTTGCTTAACGGATTATCAACATGCTGCCGGATGTAGTTTATCGTCATACCCAGGACTTATTAAAGAAATAAATATAAGGAGTGTAAAGGAAACCGTCAACAGATATTTGACATAAGGAAGGAAGAAAAAAAGAATGAAATGAAGGAAAGAATAAAGAAGTTTTACGCAAGATAAAAAGAAAACAGAAAGGAAAAAAAGGAAAGAAATAAAAAAGATAAAGTGTGTAAAAAAACCGGGAAAATAAGTTTGACATAAGAAAGAAAGAAAGAAAGAAAGAAAGAAAGAAAAGAAGAAAGAAAGAAAGAATAGAAATAATTTGACGAAAGAAATGAAGAAAGGAATTGTAGAGATAAAAGAAAAAGGAAAGTAAAGAAAGAAAACCGAATAAAGTAAGAAAGAAAGATGAATAGAACCATAAAAAAGAGAAAGTATTAAAAAAGAAAAAAAGAAGGAAGAAATAAAGACGGCAATATAAAAGAAAGGAAAAAAAGAATGAGAGAAATAAAGAATGAAAGAAAAGGGGGAAAGAGCAAAATAAATTTTTTCGTAAGAAATGAAGTAAAAAAAGGAATGAGAAAGGTAAAAGGAAGAAAGAAGAAAAATAAGTAAAAAAGAGCGAAAAATGTTTTTCGTTATAAAAGAAGAACGAGAAATGAAAAAGATAAAAGAAAGAAAGAAAAAGCGCGAAAAAAAAGGTTTTCGAAAGAAGGATAGAAAGAAAGAAATGAAAAAAATAAAAGAAAGAAAACGGGTAAAAAAAAGAAGTTTTTTTTTTTTTTTATAAGAAAGGAAGAAAGAAAAGTGAACAGAAAAAGAAAAAAAAAGTAATGCAGCAATTAAGCAAATCTAAATTCCAGAATTAGAAGTGCGCCCCCGACTCCATTAGATTTGATGAATGTGGCTTGTGTGGGGTGGAAGTAGGCGTCGGTAGCATCAATGCAAAACAGACTGATTGCGCGAGTCACTTGGGCGACGGACCAACGATTTAAGTAGAAAACATTTTATTGTTTTTATATGACACATTCTAATTCTATTTTAGTGCGGTTCAACTCAGTTTGCACATCTGAACTCATTGCTATCACTTGTTCCGCTTTTCCGACAACAGTTCCTGAAATTTCTGAACCCAAAATATCACCTAATTTATTTGGGTGTAAGACATCTTCCCTGAGCCTGATCATTTATCAATATATATTTATTAGATAAACGGATCATAGTATTAGCGAAAGCACAAAGATAAGAGGTATCCAATAAGCAAAGAATTAACAAATAATAACTTCATTGTATATCATCTTTTGCGTTATTCTGAGACTGACCATTCAACGATATATATATATATATATATATATATATATATATATATATATATATATATATATATATATATATATATATATATATATATATATATATATAATTATTTGGGAAACAATCCCTCATTTATACAAGTTTCATTAAAACAGACTGATCAGGTACTACGGTGAATATTTTTATTGAATATCTCTTGTTTTTTTTTTAAATTATTTTTTTTCTTTTGTGTGGATAAATTATATATATATATATATATATATATTATAGATAAACTTATATATATATATATATATATATATATATGTAAATAAATTATAGATAAACCTATATATCAATCTATATATATATATATATATATATATATATATATATATATTATAGATAAACCTATTTCTTTTTTAAAACTTTTTTTTCCTTCGAGATAGATTTGATTATTGGCAAATCAAAAATTCGAAGGTTTTTTCGAGACAGTATAGTTATATATATATATATATATATATATATATATATATATATATTAAAGACATTTTTATGTTTAACGTTCTTTTTTATAGATACAAGTATTTAAGTAAATGCTCTGTGTATAATAAACAGTATTAAATAACATTTACCGGCCTGAACGTTTATTATAAACAGAGCATTTACTTAAATACTTGTATCTATAAAAAAGAACGTTAAACATAAAAATGTCTTTAATAAATAAATTGTCGGACTTTGTCCATTTCTTAATATATGACGTCATTTGTTTACATTTGATACGCCAGAGCAGTTATGAATGTACGAGATTCATGGAAGATTGAAGTTTATAAGCAGTAAATTCGGCCTTGCCAACCGAACGCTTCTTTGTGGCCGATCGGTAAGGCACGTCAGCGTAAATGACGGTTCCGTATAGGATGCAGGTTCGAATCCTGTTAAAGGACGAATATTTTCTATGAAAATTTCTCGGACATTCGTTATAATGTTATTTAATACTGTTTATCATAAACAGAGCATTTACTTAAATACTTGTATCTATAAAAAAAGAACGTTAAACATAAGAATGTCTTTAATAAATAAATTGTCGGACTTTGCCCATTTCTTTATATATATATATAGGCATGTTTCGTCTAAAATGACTGACAAGATGTGTTGGCTGAGGTTTTTTTTATATAATTTCTTTTGTGTTCGTATAAATTATATCAAAATTTGTCCGAATGTTTTACAAGCGTTTTGGGCGATAATTTTAGCTCTTATCAAGGATGTATTTTGCTTTAATTTTAACTGAATCTATGCATTGTTTTATGTATGTATTTAGTGCTATAGGAATATTATATATATATATATATATATATATATATATATATATATATATATATATATATATGAAAAAGTGTATATAAATATAAATAAATATATATATGTATAATTATTTATATATATATATGGTACTTATATAGAAAGCGCTCAATATCAGAGATAGAGCTAACATATTTGGTTGCTAAAGCGTGAAACCCAGGGTCACAAACTCACATCTATCCAACCAAATATATATATATATATATATATGTGTGTGTGTGTGTGTGTGTGTGTGTGAATTATTTCCAGATAGATTGAAATCGTTTCCCTGTTTTGTTCGAGACAATTTTTCTCTCCACAACCTATCTATAAGTCCACTATTCGATCATGCTTAGAATTTTGCTGCCACATATGGCCCGGTGACCTTGCTTTTTAACTTGATCTCCTTGATAAGACCCAAACTAGAATCAGCAACATTATTAGTTCTGATGTGGCGGCTCGGCTTCAGTCCCTTGCCTACTGTGTCTTTTCTATAAATACTTTCATGGTAATTTTTTAGTGAGCTATGGTATCTAGACTTTTTAAAATTTAAGCGCAGCACTAGACGGGCGTCGAGATCTCATCATCTTAGATTTGATCTGCCGAGATTTAGCCTTAATTCTATGTTAACCGTTTCTTTTCTTCTATTTCTTGCTTGTGGAATTCCCGTCTGGCTCCATTCTTTTCAGCAAACTTTGCACATATTTAAAAACAATGTTAATCGCTATGTATGTTCCTCCTGATTACTCTTTTCTCTTCCCGTTCTTATTAATGTTTCTGTTCCTAATTCTCCTACAACTGTAACCCTTAGTGTCTTAGTGTCGTTACTACCTTGCATAGAGTGATACTGACCACAAAAAGGAAAAAAAGTGTATCGGTAAAGGAACAAAAGGCATTTAAAAAATAAAACAAGAGGAAAACCTATTCTAAGACGATGTATTTCGTCTTCTGATATTGCCTTGATAAAGTCACTCAGAGTCCGAAACGCGTCGGCTAAGAATAGTTTTTCCTGTTGTCTTTTTCATATATATATATATATATATATATATATATATATATATATATATATATATATATATATATATATATATATATGTATGGAAAAATTTAAGCTGAGACGAACTTTTTTTCTCACTGTCATGTATATACACCATTTCTTTTTCTCCCCCTTCCTACACTATATTAAATTTACATCTTCCCACCCCCCATTCTCTCAATATGAAATCACTATTCTTAATTTTTAAACCTGCAGTGTATTTTTCCTTTTTCATTTGGTTTACAGGTCTGAAGATTTGAAGCTGTTTTTATCGACTTCAATGAAATAAATATTACTTATGTTTTTTTAAGCTTTTCATTATATTATAATTTTGGCTCTGTCTTCGACATAGAGCTCTCAACGGATCTATATCCTCTTTGGAATATACGGATTACCAATAATTTTGTTACATATATATATATATATATATATATATATATATATATATATATATATATATATATTGTACTAAGCTGAGCTCAGCGTTTTGCATAGGAATACGGAAAGGAAGCACACAGTGAGGAGCGATTCACTTGTAATCTTCTGTCTGCAAGCCAATATATTATTTTTATTATTTTCGCTGAGGCTGACCGTTCAACAATATACATTTATACGTAAGACTGGTTTTTGGCGAAATATACCAGAGGTGAGGCACCTGGTGAGGATCGTATTTATAAATAAAGCCAATTGTTGAGGCCAATATATCATAGTTATTTGCTAAATTGAGTTTAGTTTTTACTTGGGTGGGTCTAAGGAAAGATGAGTCACCCAGTAAATATCGAATGCTATAGTAAATGTTCTGCCTGTAAGTCAATATAACTTGGTTTAATGATATTTTCCTTGAGTCAGCATGTGTTCACTTTTTCCTATTTTTATTTTCTTGATGTTTTACATTAGGTTGCAGGTACATGTTAATTGTTTTTTTTAAAATATTTCATTTTACTTTCTTTCTTAATTTTTCTTGCTTGATTTCCTTCTTTCTTTCTTTCTTTCTTTCTTTCTTTCTTTCTTTCTTTCTTTCTTTCTTTTACTTCTTTTTCACAGACTCCTGATGGTTGTTTTTTGTTTTTCATCTTTCAACTATCATCAGTTTCTTCTTTCTTTCTTTCTTTCTTTCTTTCTTCTATTTCATTTTAGTTCGTACTTTCTTTCTTTCTTTTTATACCCTTCGTCTTTCTTTCTTTCATTCTTTCTATAGCACCCATCCATATTTATTTATTTATTTTTTATTTCTCCATTTCTTTCCTTTGGTAAAACCCGTCTCTCTTTTTATATATTTCTTTCTTTCTTTCTTTCTTTCTTTCTTTCTTTCTTTCTTTCTTTCTTTCTTTTGCTATTTCATTTTAGTCCGTACTTTCTTTTTTTGTACCATTCATCTATCTTTCTTTTTTCTTTCTTTTTTCTTTCTTTTTTTCTTTCTTTTTATACTACCAGTCTTTCTTCCATTCTTTTTATAACTCTCGTCTTTCTTTTTTTCGTTTTCTTTTCTTTTTTCTTTCTTTCTTTCCGTCCTTCTTTGCTATTGATATTTTCTCTCACAATTCTATCAACGTTTTCCATTCCTTTTCCTTTATTTTCTTTATCGTTTCCCCCCTTTACTCTCTCTTTCATTTTCTACGTCTTCTTTCTTTTTCTCAGATTTCTGCTGTTTAGTACTTATAAACATTTGCAATTATTAGAGCCATTCGGACAGAGATTATTTTTTTAGCTTCAAGCAAACATTCTTTATTCAAATCCTTACCTGACCCCCAAAAAATCGCTTGGCTCCATTCCAAAGTTTAAGGGTTGACGCTAATGCCGGGCATGTCTTTCTTAATCTGCCTGTCAAGGGTTAACCTTATTTGTTGCGTGTCTATTTTTTCGGTTATTTTTTACCAATTTCCGCTAACCAGGAAATATTCTTTGAGAGACAAGGAACTTCGACCAGAAGAAGTGTTATCCATGTTGCACACAGAACATTTAAGGGTCGCCATTCACTTATTTTTCTTATTTATACGAAATGAATAGAGAAAGAATAATAAAAATTAAAGAAAGAGAAAAATGTAAGAAAAAAGACAGGCATGTTCATATTCACACACACACACGCACACACACACATACATACACACACACATACATACATACACACACACACACACACACACACACACACACACACACACACACACACACACGTTAGTCCCCTCCACATAGTGGACTGGTTAGCAAACCTGTCTCACTAGAACAGTTACAATTAAGTAGTGAGTTCAGTCCTCACTAGGTGTCCTATAATTTCAGACTTGTGCCACATCTAAGCTACGTTGAAAAAATTCCTATACACAAACCCGAGCCTCAAGTTGAATTCCTATATACGATCCATTGCTAATGATGCAGATAAAATGGTTTCCTTCCTGTAACTGATTCCTCGTTCTATCCTCTACATTAATAAGAGCCAGGCTAGACCAAAAATGGAGAACTGTTGCCATATACGGACAAGACCTGTCCAGACCTGAGTTCAAAACCGTCTCCGAGTCATTGTTGGTGGAAAATTATTTTCCACGGTCCAACCTCTTTTATTTAAGGACTATCTGCACCGTAGTACCATATTTACTTACTCATAGGACATATTTTCTTCTTGTAAAATATCTCCAAAAACCACCTTGATTCCTATAAATCGAAGGTTGGCGATCAGAGTTATCTTCTCTTCTAATTATTCCATTCTAAATTTTCTTTTTATGTGCCATCTCTTTTCAGGGCGTAGGCGATCATGGTTCTCCGCCTCCTTTTATCCGTTGCAGCTCTCAACAATTTCCTTCCCTCTGCCACTTCCCACAGACCATGTTCTGTCATCCACTTGCTTAAGGCCGCTAAGTTTGTCTTGTCTCTCTTTCCCTCAATTCGATCCGTGAGTATCAGATTCTCCGGGTCCTTCTCCCTCATTATGTTTCCCAGGAACTTCAGCTACCTCTTCCTGATGTTAAGTATAAGCCTCCTGCTAGTTTGCACCCTCTCGTTGCTCATACGCTCGGCCCATGATATCCTTCAGCTTTTCTTTCTTTATATATTTTTATCTTTTTCTTTCTTTTATCTTTTTCTTTCTTTTTTTAGCTGATTTGCTTTCTTTCTGCTTTGCTTTATGTATTTATGTCTGTATTACTTCCCCCTCTCACTTCCTTTAGTTCTGACATTCTGTTTTTCTTTCTTTCTTTCTTTCTTTCTTTCTTTCTTTCTTTCTTTCTTTCTACTCTTATTTTTCAGCTTTTCTTTCTCTTCTTCACGTCTCCTTCTATTTCTTTCTCTCTTTCTTTCTTTTTCTTATTTTCTGTTTTTGTTTCTCGTTCTTTCTTTCTCTCTTTCTCTATTTCATTCTTTCTTTCACACCTATTTACCATGCATTTTTTTTATTTCATTCTCTTTATTTCTATTACTCCAAACAAAATGATTGACAAGGACAAATGTTTTACAATATTTTTATGTTCCCCACCAACACCAACCTCCGTATTTACACTTTTTTTAAAACATATATTCTATTTTTACACACCACTTGTTTCATTCCTCAAGAAAGTTCTTCCGTTTCCCTTCTAACGACTCACTTGACAGGCCCTTTTTTCTTCCCGACGCCGCCCCCTTGCCCCATATAAGTGCGAATAAAGATGACCTCAAGGAACATCTCAAAAACCATGTTTCCTCCTTTCGGAAAATCAAGATAGAAATCCTCGTTGTAAACCCAGCCATTAGCAGAATCCAAGACTTAATTCAAAACCATTCTTCGCACTTGGTAGCTAGATTGTTTTCTTTTATGTAACATTCTTCCGACAACCATAGACTGTTTCTACAGTGCTTTTTAATATCAGCGCCATCTTTTTTTTTTACATTTTGCTTGTTTAAATTGACAAACTAAAATAGGCGCCAGTGCATGTATAAGTGTTTTTACTGTCTCATATATTCATCTAATCTTATTTATTATCCACATGGAAATTTTTCAAGCGAATGAAACTTCCAGCTCTCAAAGAAAACAATCCTTAAACAATTTGATAACTGACGCCACAAAATCCCAAACAAAGAATTTTACCACATAAAAACAGAAGCAAAATACATAACTTGAAGACATCAAACAGTAGCAACAACTAAAATCGATTGTACATATACCGTAAATTGCGGCCAATAAGCCGAGTTCCGAAACTAGAGGTCGACTTATATTGCAGGTATAAAATACCAAATTTTACCACCGACTTGTAAACAAGTGAACAAATCTCATAACGATTAGAACGCACCTCCAGCAGACTGCCACAAATATATCCCCCTAAAACCAGAAATTAACATAAAATAATAAAATAGTAAGATAAATTCAGTATTAACGCTAGAGCACGCATCTCGTCTAACCGCTGATATACTGTGGTGACGTCACTGGTTATTTGTTTACGTCACGGATGCAAATGGTGGATGAGTGAACCCGTGTTTTACAATAACATATGATACGTAGCAGTGCTATCAAAAATCAACTCGGTATGATGTGTAATCTAAGATATTAATAATATCATATAGGAGTTTATGCTGAGTTTAATGTGTTCATGTGTAAACATAACGAATTTAAAATAGAACATACGATATTTCCGGTTTGTGTTGTAAGTTGTTTGCTATACAACGCAGATAGAAAGATGGTGTCTCAATATACATGTAAATGTTGTGATATATAATTTTGCTAAAGGTTATCGTATACTATAGTCTTTCTACCTTTGCCTCTAAGCATATGTTTTGGGCCACTGGTAGCTTATGTTTGGGAGTCGACCTATACGCTAGATATAGGAAAACTTGTAATCGACTTGTACGCTGCAATTTACGAAAACTAGAAGGGAAAATAATGACTCAAGCTGATGACTTTCCATACAAATTTATGGACAAGGTAAGGAAAGAGCTAAAGGTGAGGCAGAAATACCTCCCATATTTTAAGTGTCAAAAGGTAAGGAAGGAAAACGCCCATCAATACAGGGTGCGACAGAAATACATCAGACATTTTAAAGTGTCACATGCGTGGTGGTAGTAGACTTGTAGCAATTGTGTCTTAATCTTACAAATGAATTACCCTGTTTTTTTTCAGATACCATCAATTACTATCATGGCTTGAAAGGTGGGGATACAGAGTGTCCAACGTTGAAATCTTATTATAAATTGGTGAATCTTTAATTACAACGCAATCAGCTTTCGTACTCATTTCCTGATACGTCAAAATGTATCTCTTCCGGATAGATATGTGTTAATAATTTCAGGGTCACAGGTTTAGCGTTTAAAAGATAGCCACATAGTTGTCTTCGAAGCTTTCGAACTTACAGCTGATGGAAGACTAGAAATTGTCTACAAGAATGTATGGGCTGTAGAGGCCACAATATATAGGATCTTGTTTTAGCTGCAATCCCGCCTTGCATGGGGTGAAATGCTGAAAGAAAATCAAACTAATAAAACCCGTAACCTTTTGTTTAAACAACGGTAAAATAAATATTTTAACAGCAGTTACCTTTGTCTTTTTGTCAAATTTTAAATTGTGGGAGTTATTTCTTCTCTACCCGGTATAGCTGTTCATTGAGTGAGAAAATATGTTCCTGAAAACAATTATCTTAAGTGGATGATTATATTAGCTATATAGAACCTTTTTTTAGATCAATATTTAAAAATGGCTTCCATTGAAGGAACCATCTAATATCTTTAAGGTTTAAGGAAACAGAAAAGAATAAATTACCCCAAGAGTAGTTAGAGTACCACGCAAAGGTTTACAACATATTACATTTTTTTGGGGGGTGGGTATTTCTAATAAAGGTACATAAATTAAACTTTTACTGCTCGTAGAACATATATTTAGGCATTCAGTCAAACAACCATATTTTTTAAAAAAAACTTCAAGTAAGTACCCCACAAAGAAAAACCGATATTTAATAACCGAAAAGTGTATAATATATGTTTTATTTACAACTTACAACAGCTTTTTTTTCTTTTTTTTTTTTTTTTTTTGATAAAAGTGTTCAAATTATACTAGGATGTTCCAAATTAGGATGAGATTGATTTTTAGAACGTTTCAGATTAATTTTGTGTTTACTTTTAGGAATGATTAAAAGTATTGTGTCATTCTTTTTTCTGTCGACCGTCCTTTAAACATTGACAAAATGGGGAAAAGCAAAATAATTGATCAAGACCTCTGTAAATGTGTCATTCTATTCGTCCCCAAAAATCTCTAGTCGTCCTAGAAATTTGACGGAACGTACGGTAAGATTATTGGCGAGAAAAGTTGGCAACGCGCTCCAAGTCACGCTTAAAGAACTTCAAGCGGGGACTAGAAGTAAACAGAGTAAAAATGATCACGGATACAATTAGTTACTTCGTCCTTTTCGAGGACTCCAAGGAAAAAAAAAACACCTCTTAAGCGAAAACACGTTTTTGCTAGATTGCATTTTGCGAACTAGCATTGTATCAAACCTGCAGCATTTTT